TTATTTTATGTATTTCATATAGTATTAACATACATCAGTATAAATAAAAATTTAATTTTCCAAAAATGTTATCTTAACGGATAATTAAACTAATATGGTTTAAATAGTTCAATAAGTTACTACCAAATGTATATGGTCAACATATCACAAGCGTAGATACATCTTTAAATCAGGGCGTGAACTTGAGTCGCAGTTAATTTCTATGGAAAAATCTCACCCACGTCCCCTAATTTTTTTCGTTAATGAATAGAAATACATATTATATTATTATTTATTACCTTATATTTATAAGGCTGGTTTAAGGTTACAAGGTTTTGCAACTACTGAAGTATACTTCAAAATTTCGAAAGTCAGAATTTGAATATTTATATTATTAAAGGGAAATATAGGATTGAGCATGCTTGTAGAATCATCCTGCAAGTAATATCCCTTTAGGTACGAAATGCTTGTTCAACAAACTGATTATACTTACTGGCAGTACCTATACGGAGATTTCAAGTCTAATAACTATATACGATTTAATGTTATAGTATAATGATGTATACTTGAATGAATGAAAATCAATGGGACAGAAAAAAAAATTCTAAAATGTGTTATCGAATATCCGGTAAATATAATATAATATTGGGAATGTCCACCATATAGATCCTTCATCATACCTAAACCTACATATACGGTATACACCACTGCGGTACGAATCGCGTGTTAAACATAAACCAAAAATAATTTTGCAGAGGAAAGAGATTATTCTTTTATATACTTAAGTTGTAGTATACACTACACTTAAGCGATCAGTGAGCTTCTAAACTTAAACCGAGTTAAACCTTTTGTTTACTACGTTTTATTAGGATATATAATGTTTAAAGTATTAATCGCCTACTTCAAAAAGTAAGTCTATATAGGTTGGCATCTTTATACTTGTCTTCAACTTTTGTTTTTTTTTTAAAATACAAAATTTGAATTTTGACAGGAATATAATTTTGTGAAAAACTTTGATGTACCAAACACAAATTCAGAACTTTAAGTTGGTCAAACATTTGAACTAAATGTTAACACCCAAATAAATTTAACCTGAACATTTATTTTTACTTGGTGTTTACGAAATATTATCTGTTTCACGGATACTATCCGAAACTTTTGTATTTTAGCCTTTAGGTGTGATTTAATGAAACCAGGAGCGGAACGAAACCGTCGTCGCTCACGGACCGGTTTCCCGGCATTTCCATTACATATGCTTTCGGTGATCCTTTGGCCTATCTTCAAACCAGCTCCTGCTCCGCCGTATGTTTCTCGTTCAGCCGTGTGTTGTAGCACACACCACGCTAAGCCGTCGTCGAGGCCCAACGAGAACGTGGCCGGGTCAACGCAAAGTCCAACGTCTCATGGAATCAGCCGCATGACATCCCAGGCCGACAACCCACCTGTAGCTGCCCTCGGCAAAGTATGTCTCGTTAGTCGTTAGGCGCCACTCCAGTTCCAAGCAGAATGGACACTCCCCGATTGTCTACAACACAAGAAGCGTTTCTCCTTGACTTTGTCCGGTTTACCTTTGATCGGGCGCCTAGTTAGTGTAAATAATTGATTTTAAAAACTTTAATTTATATAAATAAATCTCGATACTATTGTCCAAGATATTATTTATAATAATATTATGACATGATTTAACGTATTATTTCATTTTAGATTCTGAGTGAAACGATGAATGTATTGATTTTACAATGATGTGTGTTTTTTTTTAATTTTTGTGTCTGTGTACACGATTAGTAGTCGAAATAATGCTTCGATTTTCAACTTCAGTAACTTTTTCGATGGGAAAGTGAATCTAGTTGGTACTTTTTGGAGGTCAAAATTTAAAATTCCGAATAGTTTTCACAAGCGACAAGATTAACAAAAGAAAAATTAAGTAAAAACAGGAATTTTTACGCAAAATCGATTTTTCACAAAATTGAATTTGGTTTTTGGTGTAACTTTAAAACAAATGACCGTTTGAAATTTTCACTGGTTGTTTATATTTGAATTTTCTATATACTATAACATTTTCAAAATATTTTGATTTATTTTGAACTGTTTAGGGACATTTTCATTTTCCATTTTTTTTTTTTTTTTAAAGATATCAATAAAATTTTATTTGTTGGCTGAAAAAGCTTGAAAATGTAATAAAAGGCTCCTAGTATACTGTTCCAAAGGCAGATGAAAAATATTAAAAATTCTGAGTCACAATTTTTTTTCTAAGCATTTGAAGTTCACAAATTGACAAAATATGGGAAAATCACGAAAATTAGCAAATTATTTTGAGTTAAAAATTCGTAAAAATTTTTCTTTTTAAATCTAGGGTTTTAAAATGTAATACAAGATTCCTCATAAGTTTGTCTACCTTTATCAAAAAAAAAAATGTCTATAAGAAAGTCAAATTAAATTTTTATGAGCGTTTTAAATTCAAATTTTTACAACATTGGATATTCACTCGATTTCTCATGTAGCGATTTCCTTATTTTGTTGTAATTCAAAAACGAATAACTGTAGATTCATGAAAATTTCAGTGAATGTTCGTATTAGCATTTCCTATACACCATACAATTTTGAAAATATTTTGACTCTTTTTGAGCTGTTAACGGACATTGTCAATTGTCAATTTTTTTAGTTTTTTTTCTATGAATATCAATAAAGTTTTATCTGTTAGGCCAAAAAGTGTAAAAATTTAATACAAGGCTCCTGATATATTGTTACAATATCAGTTGAAAAATATTTAAAATACATACGCACAATTTTTTTTTATAAGTATTTAAAGATTGAATTTTGACAAAATTTATCAAAATCTCGAAAATTATCAATCATTGTAATTAATAAATTATAAAATTTTCAGTTTTTATAGCTAAGGATTGCCAATTTAAAACAAAGGTTCTCATAAATAGTTCATACTGTAACCAAAAAATCTAAAAAATATATGAACACAGTTATTTTTTACTGACATTTTAAATTCAAATTTGAACGAAATTACATAAAAAAAAAACCTAGAATAACTATTTTAGTTATTTGGTTGTGATTGAATAATATAATTCGTGGGTACTTGAAACTTCTAAAGTGTACTATTATATATCTATGATAGTATCACGGTTTTTGTTGATGTATAACGCGTTATAAGTACCTAATGCCTAATGGATATTGTGATATGATTAATTTGGAATTTATTATAGGTACCTATTGTAGGTCAATTTTTTGTTTAATATCATAGATATGTATATAATATGTCTTATACCTAGACTGACATACCATCTCCCCTCAGAATCGTTTTTCTTATACAATGATATTATGTCGTTGAATTCAAATTTAATATCATCCATTACACAGTGACCCACTTGTAACCTACTGTACAGCAGAGCGACACCCACTTGCTCACATTTTTAGTAATTAAAATGAAAAGGCATTAATTAAATTATAGCCAGAATAGATGTCTATATAGCTTATTATTAGTTTATTAAAATAAAAAAGATGAAAAATAGCTGTGGTTGCTAGTGGATTATTTCCCCTCAAAAATCACTTATAGCCTCCCTCCTAAATAAAAACGGCTTGTTTGTACTATGATTTAGATTCATCGATTTTCAAAAAGTCATCTGTTTACAGTTTACAGGAAAATAGAGTAATTATAAAATGAAAAAAAGAAGTTATTGGTACCGTCTCAGGAATAGTACGGGATCCTCTTTAAAAGGTATATAAAATCTAAATATTTAAAAATATGATCCTCAATTAATTATACTTAAAAATTCTAAAAATCGAAATTTCAATTAATTCATTATCAAAGAGAATAAATGGAGGTTAACATGCTTTGTGAATAGCATGAAGGTATATAATTATTAATATTGTGTTTTGACTTCATGTTTATTACATTAAAGATTTTGTTCTTATATTATATTATAATCTTATTCAGTACCTAAACATTTTTAAAATTAAATTTTTTAAGTTTTACGTTTATTAAAAATTATTTATAATTTTGTTTAAAAGAAAAGTGATATTATTCTTTAATTTATAATTTTATAATTTATTCCATAAATGTCTTTCAAATATTTAAATGTTTAACAACGAGTTGCTCATTATGTAAAAACTATAATTATATGAAGATGTTGTCAAAATTATATCAACAGTCTTCTAGAGTCTAGACTAATGAAGTGAAGGTATATTGTAATATTTACTTCACTTTCAAAAGAACAAGAAAAAATATTCTTCTAAAAGTTCAATTTATTTTTATAAAAACAATTTAATTTTGGTCATAAACAAAACAGTATTTTCATTTAACATAAATTATATTATGATGAATCGAAAGATTCTGAGGTTGAAAAAAGGTTTTAATAACTTGTATTAGCATGTCTGTGTGTGCACACACCATGGTAGCCGGTATAGGTACCAATGTACCGAATACCGATTGGCTATTACCTACATGAACATAGATAATTGCTAGCTTACCATAATATCAAATTATTAAATATAATTATTATTTTATACATTTATTCAATATACTTAACACTAGTTGAGGATCTATAAAACGTTTCCTATTATTATAATTTATAGGTATAGGTACATTGGACTTAAAAACTTATTCATATAAAAACATGTATACAGAACAAAAATTAAAATCACTATTAGATAGATCGAATTAGAACAATATCATTAATACATTATAAAATGTTGTATCTACACATCCATCTTAATATACTATTTACATTTTACACTAAACTTATGAGGATTTACAATTTCGTATTAATTTGCATTACATTTTACATTATAATATAAGCAAATATGGTATAAAATATGGTACAATTTATTACAAAGGCTATTTTACATAAATACAATTTTGGTTGTACAATAAAGGTAATGCCAGTAAAGGTATTTATAATATCTATATCATAGGTAGGTAGGTTTATAACATAATAATAAATACATATGCTGCGAAGTGTGAGTAATATTCACCATATTATTACATCATATTCGTTTAAACACAGGTGATGTCAAACAGAATCTATAGTTTTAATCGATTCTTCTTTGACAGTATTATTACATTCGTCTTTATTTTTTGGTGCTACAACATCATCTTCATTATTTTTAAATATGTTGTCTTTTTGATCGGCTTTGTATGTCAACCTAAAAATAATGCAAAGTAATATTGTTACACCCTGAATAATACCGTCTTAGTTGGCAACATTCGACGGTAAATAACTAATAAGCAGTAAAAACATGAAACACCATAATAATAATAGTAGTCTTAGGTGGTAAAGTCTAATATTACATTTCGTATGTTTACTGTATAATAATACTTATAATTATGGAGGGTTGAAGCCCCGTGGCCATTCGTATAGCTCAGCTAATCAATTTTAAAATACCAACACATACGCATCGTATGTTTGTATGAACAAAGACCATAAAAAAATAATCTTTACATTTACAATTTATTTATCAGTTATAAATAAATTACCTAGTATGCTAAAATAATATTAAATAATTAGTACAGAACCTCATATCGTAGTTATATTATATACATTTGAATTTTCGAAAGGTTTTAATTTTTTGTTGGGTTATTTATTGTTATATGTTTACATAATAATCTTATAATTTTAATTACCTAGGTAGATAGGTACATATATTATAGAAATCATAGTTGGTTTGGCATGTTATTATTCAATTATTGTAATGCTATTAATATAATATAATTATCGTAGTAAATATGACGTATTGTGTAACAGTTATATAATATTGAATTATAATTAATTGATGAAGTACTTATATTTAGAAAATTTTGGTAGAAATGGTAGATTTACAACAGTTTTTTTTTCGTTTTTCACAATTTTTTTTCAAAATTTAGTGTGGATATTGATTTATTTATTATTTATATACTTACCACAAGTTATAATTTAAAATATAAAGATGACCTGTTTTAAAATAAAATGTATGATCAATCTTTATTATAGATTACTAAAATTGGGGACTAGTGGCTACACAGTAAAAACCAATTTTAAATCAATTATCGTATGTTTGGAACCTTGAATAAAATAATTTTGTGCAGTTATACTGACTGCAACGCATATTAAATATAATACAATATCAGCATAAGTTGTAAAATGTTCTTATAAAATCAAATTAGAAGCCATAGAGAATACCAAACGTTTTGTTTGTATTTTATAGCCTTATAAGCTCACACGTCCAGATAAAGTCAATATTGACCAACAGCCAACCATAATAACAATCAAAATCAAATTAAAAGTCAGACGATCCTGCAATACCTATACCTATACTTTGCACCAAAACCACTTAATTTCGTCGAACGAATTCTCACTACCGTTTATATATTATTATTACTGTTGCACAGACTTTGAGAAAATGTAAAACAATTTTATTACAATATATTATCCTTCCACCAAATTTCAAATTTCAAATTTATAGTTTCTACCCTCTATGATAAAATGTTATCACTATAAAAACTGTTACATATTTTTAAAAAAAGTGGATGTCAATCTGCTGTACATTAGGTTACAAGTGGGTCAATGTTAAATGGATGGTATTAAATTTGAATTCAATGAGATGGTAATACCATTGTATACGAAAAACGATTCTGAGCGGTGACGGTTTGTCAGTGTGGATATATTATATTATATATATATTGTTATTTCTTATTACTTATTAATAAGGTAGCCGATGAGTTGAATAAATATTATAAAATTACAACAAAATAACTAAAATCGTTATTCTTGGTTTATAATATATAATTTCTTCTAAATTTGAACATAAAATTACTATAAAAAAACTGTGATTTATATTTTTGAGATTTTTTGGTTACGGAATAACCTAAAAACGTGCAACCTTGTTGTAACTTTTCAATCCTTAGTTATAAAAGTTGAACATTTAATACATTTTTAACTACAAAATCATTTTTAAATTTTAAATGTTGACTCTTTTTGACCCAACAAATAACATTTTATTGATATTTATAGAAACAATAACTAAAAAAATTTAAACTTGAAATTATCCATAAACAGCTCAAAACATGTCAAAATATTTTGAAAATGTTATCAAGTATAGAAATTGATAAAATTAACATATTATATAAATCTCGAGTATCTACGGTTATTCGTTTTTGAATTATAACAAAATAAGAAAATCGCTACATGAAAAATCGAGTGAATATTCATACTTGTAAAAAAAAAGAACTTCAAACGCTCATAAAAATGTAATTTAATTTTCAGGTAGGGATTTTTTTTCTCATTAAACTAGACAAACGTATGAGGAATCTTGTATTACATTTTCAAATCTTAGATTTAAAAAGAAAACATTTTTATGAATTCTCAACTCAAAATTATTTGCTATTTTCGTGATTTTTCCTTATTTTGTCAAGATTTGAACTTTAAATGGACTAAGGATTTTTAATATTTTTCAAATGTCATTGTAACAAAATATTAAGAGCCTTGTATTACATTTTCAAGCTTTTTTACCCAACAAATACAGTTTTATTGACAATCATAGAAAAAAAAATTAAAAAAAACTGAAAATTGATTATGTCAGTAAACAGCTCAAAACAAGTCAAAATATTTTGAATATCGAATGGTGTATAGCAAATGCTAATATAAATGTTCAGTGAAAATTGTCGGTCATATCTACGGTCATAAGTTTCAGAGTTACGATCAAAACCAAAACAAATTTTGCCTAAAAATTCCTGTTTTTCGTTAGTATTTTTTTTTTGTTTTTCTCACACATTTAAAAATTACTGGGAATTTCAAATTTTGACCTTCCCAATGCACCAACAAAATTCAATTTCCCATCAAACAAAGATACTGAAGTTGAAAATCGAAGCATTATTTCGACTACTTATCGTGTACACATATACAAATAAAAAAAAAAACATACATCATTGTAAAATCAATACATTCATCGCTCGGCTCAGAATCTAATAATGCATGCACATTTAAATTTTAATTGAATGTTACAGTTCCAATATGAAAGCAATTCAAATTTTTTGTGAAAAATATGAATGGCTATTCGTGGCAATTTATATATAATTTAACTAGAAATAACTGCAATTATTTTTATTCCACGTACTACACCTATTCTTGATATTACATTATTTAACTACAATTAAATGTTTTAGGATTTTTCCATTCATTAAAACATTGATAAGGGTTAGGTACATACCCTGCATATACTCACTACTCGGTCTATTTATTTTTTATAATAGCTAAGTACATCAAAATTGATTACAATGCATATTATGAACTGCAGCTCTATGGATTTAATAATGCACACACTGTACACATTGTAAACGAAAAAGTACATATTATAGCTTAACAATTTGAAAAACACGATTATATATACCCTATAAATTATAATATAATATATAGAGCATAATATTGTAAAGTTGCGTGGAATATCATAGCATTGTATTTACCCGAATAGTATGACAACTGGAACAGTAATAACCGCAGTCAACAGGAAAAAAGCTCCCGGTAGTGTTTCAAATGTGAGCTTATATAATTGATTATATAACGGATAAATAATAATTGGAGCGAGCGTTTCCAGCATACCGCGAACAGAATTGAGTTGCGCTAAAAAAAAAAAAGTATAAGAATTACGTAGGTACGCCTTATAAGTGTTTATGTTATAGGTAATAATACTATCATAATTTTGAATAATAATTTAAAGAAATATTATCATTGACATAGTTTGCCGTTGTCCCACAATATTTGACATTCTAAATTATATATTATTGGAAAACACGGTTTTATATACCTACTCTCTAGTACCGTGTTTAAAATTGTCTTAAAAAAAAAAAATTATAAATTCGAGAAGTTTATTGTTGACATTTATAATTATAAAAACAGCATTTACCTAGTTCACTGTTATCGACGAGTTTTGACGCCATCGAAGTGCTGACTGTAAACGCTGCACCGTGGAAAATGTCTATCACTGGCACTGAAATTTTAAATAACACGTGAAATCGTATATACAAATCATGATTAATATGAAAATTATCGAGTTTGGTGAATGACCAACCTGCATACAGCTGCCAAGGTTGGGTGACAAAACTATAGCACACAGCAGCGATTAGGTCGAAACTGCTGCCGATAAATCCTATTGCTGCGTCGTGCATTTTTAGTTTTACACTCATTAACCATATAGCTAAGATAGTCCCTGTAAATAAAATAATACAAATAATAGATATTTACTGTTAACTATTTTAAACGATGTACTAAATTTTCATTTAAATTATATATTTATAATTTATATTTGCTATTATGTCATTAATGAATTGTTACAGTTTCAACTTTCAAGATGATGTTTTAGTTCAAGACAAAATGTCTTTATCATGTATAATATAAATATTATATAACATGCGTGTACATTCGTCTTACTTTTTATAGTTTGTAGGCTAACGTTCGTCTGTTTATAAGGTTGGTTTGGAATTATAAGTTGATAATTATTTAACTACTACCTATTAATATCTATATAAAACTGTATTAATCTATAATAATGTTCGTCCTTTAAATATTAACCTTCATGTAACTATATCACTTTCTAGAATGCTTTGAAAAGGAAAGGTTGAGAGAAAAGGAAGAGCTGTATATACAAATTATAGGTAACCCAATTTTTAAAATATAATATACCGATTATGTAAATTATGTAGCCGGTATGACTGTATGAGATTGTCTTCACGCTCTAAATCTGAAACGGACGACTATATTCATAATATATTTGCAATGTTCTCGACCTCGCGGTATCTCACAGTTATAATTATTTATGATTGTTATGAGTTATAACGATATAAATTTGTAATTTGTAATACAAAAAATAGTTAATTCATTATTCATAATGAATGTAATTATACAATTATAATATGTAGAATCTCTGACATGTACGATGTACCTACCTTTAATGAAATAATGGTTTAAACACTTTAAATTATAATCATATATTATAATATACATATACAATATAGCACAAAATAATGATGATATTGATATAGACTTTTTTTATCTACTAAAAGTTCAAAAGTTTCCTATGTTACATTGACTTGCCTTCTTAGATTGGAAATTAAGCACAGATTATTATTTTTAAAAGTTTTTTTTATGAATTTCCTAATTATGTTTGACAAATTTAAGAAATATAACTGTCGTGACGTCAACCTATTATTATTATTATAGCCAGTTTTATATTCTCCTCGAAGCTTTTAGTAAATGTATTGATTTATAGTGGCTTTCGTTTTTAAACACCCATCAAAATGGCCCATAAAAATATTATACTTCTCACTTAATTTTTTATTTTTACAAACATTGAAATAATTTAATTTCTTAGAAAAAGCCAACATATAATGTGTGTGACAAAAATTTTATTAAAAGAGAACCCATGATTCCTAGACAATATAGATGCCAAACTACTACACTATTTTGGTCAAAACTAAGCATACAAAACGTTTAATATTATAGTGATTGTTGTTTAATTAAAATAAACATAATATCATCATTATTACGTCATGTAACAGGATATTTACACATGCACAAATAATAAGCATGTCAATAATAGTTTTCAGCTACCTATGTTTTAGCCGGAAATACATTTTACGAATTGATTTATTTAGTTAGGTGGGTAGGTGGATAGGTTATATAGTACGTGTATTATAGATACCGTGAAAAATCGAAAATATCGTATACACTATTAAATACGAAAATGCATTTCCACATGAACAAATATTGTTTTTAAACCCAAAACGATATTAATGACGAAATCGGTATATATATATAATAATGTACAATTCAACGTGGGTATTTCGAATTTCAACTGTTTGCGTTAGGTTCTAATAACTTTCGAATTTCATTAATACAGAAATTAATTGCGATTGAACTTGCAAGAACAAAAAATAATTCAATGACATTTTTCTCCAATAGCGCATAAACATCACCATGTGATGACTTAAGTCAAACTTATGTTATTTTGTCTAAATAATATTAGTAATATTACCAATAAGTATCCCAGTCATTTTGTATGCAGCGTAGAGGCTGTAATCGATTTCGTTCCATCCAAATTTATATCTGACAAAAAGATAAAGAATGGAGTATTCACCTGAAAAAAATGTAGTTAAAGTTTAACATATTAGTAGTTCATTTATTAATTATAATTAAACTCTAAAGTTTACTTTTCTATTGGATATTAGTTTAAAAATATTTATCCACACAATAGAAATCTGCTAAGTATCCAAATATGCATAACACAAAGTCACAAAATACATTGTAGTTTATTTACTTAAGTACTGGAAGTTGTTAAGTCATAAAATCAAGATTTCACATTACATTTATTTTTCTTTTAAAGAATTCGGATAAAATAGAATATGTAATGCATCATACAAAATATAAATGTACAGGTACTTATAATTTTAAGCCAAACATTTTGTGAAGTTCTATAGATAAATTATTAAATAAGGTTTATGGGTAATATAAATATTATTTTGTGTAAGTTACACATTATATATTTGTAATTAACAATGACGTACCTAGTTTAAAAATAGGGACAAATTAGGTAAAAAAAAAAAAGTAAATAAGTAAATTTTTTACAATGTTATTATATATTTTTTTTATCAATTTGACAGCTACTTTCATCAACTATAACTTGAAAATATTATATTATATTATATAAAATGTAAATATTTCTAAGAATACTAAAAATAATATACATGTTATAATATGCATATTATAAGAAAAATTAATATACACGTATCTTAGCTTAGAATAGTAATACGGAACTAATATAAAATCTTTTAGATTCTGAGCGGAGATGTATTTATTTTACAATGATGAGTTTTTTTTTGTGTGTGTCTGTCATCAACTTTTGGGACAATAAAAATGCGTTGATTTTTTCAACAGCATCTTTTCTGTCAGAAAGTGAATCTATTTAGTACTCTGGGTGGTCAGGAAAAACTAACAATAATTTAAGGAAAAATTGAGATTTTTACGCAAAACCAGTTTTCGAAAAAACCATTTATCGTATAGGTACAATTGTATTGAATTAAAATTTAACTTATTCATTACAATGGCTCTCTAGATACCTAATGTACAGCAGAGTATACCACTTACCCACTTTATTTATTTTTTGGCTGATAATTGGTTTATTAAAATACCAAAAAACAAAAATGTTTACCTGAAATATATATACAATAGCCGAATAGTCAATATACTACACGTATACAGGTATTGGGAATAAATGTATGGTATATTAATTATATATAATATATACTATCTGCATAACTCAACTTCGCCCGTTTGCCGTTTTTTTTGTGTTCTAACTTTTTTTTTCAGTTTGTATATAACTTGTAGTTATTGCCTTTAGATCATTACTATTATTAATATTATAATTTATAATTATTAATTATTAGATTATCTTGATTTATTAAAAATAGTTATTTCTGGGTACAATAAATTCTAAAAAGTTTAATATAAGACGTTAGATTTTACCTCATCTGCTCAAGTAACCAATATTAACCATTAATACACAAAAACAAATATACTTTTATATATACAAACTAATTTTTACTTTTATATAGGAACTGTTATAGTGTTCAAAAAAAATTTTAATTTCCACCGAATCTCTAAATCCTTGTTTGAGGACCTCTTTGAGAATTTTGTAAAACCCTTTCTTAATGGAACTCTACGTCATAAAACGAAACTACTGACCAAAATGTATACTTATTGCTTCAGCAGTTCTGGCTAGGCGATGATGAATCAGGAAAAGTTCTTTTATATATTATATAACAAATAATATACCAACAAAGTTTTGTAAATATATGCAAATCAAACAAATGGAACTACCTATCCATAGTTTTCACATTATTGATTGCAGAAGAACTACATATTTTCAATATAATATATAGATAATAAATTATATGTAAAAGATTACAAACTTTTAAAAGTTTTTGATTAATGTATTTTACATTAAGACTATTTCATATTTGAATCTCACATTTACTTCAACTTAACGTTCACCTATACTGTCTTAATATTTAATACCTACGCCTATAAAATATTTTATTTAAACTTTATTTAAACTTTATTTAAACTTGAACTTTCATTTTAAAAATTATACTTTTCTGAAATCGTCTTGTCATTATTTTGGAAAAAATATTATAACTATTATAATTGAGTTCAATATTTAAAAAGAATACATTTTACAATACATAATATCTTATGTTGTAGGTACATAATATGTTGTTGTATCATGGAAAGGAATAGTTAAAAATTAATAAAAAATTTTTGAACCTATGTAATATATTTGATTAAAATATGCAAAATACAGAATAGAACAATAATATAAACTATTATTTTTTTATTCTTTATTTTTTTTAAGTATCTCAAAATCGATATAGTGATATAGTACAGGAAAATTATGATTGTTTGGTTGATATATTATATAAGGTGTAATATAAATAACTGACTATTGTAATTAATTAACAACCTTTATAAAACATTTTATTCAAATTTTTTTTTTTTGTTTTAAAATAAAAGTATGATTATACACATTAAATAAATAAATATACATTTAAATAAATGTAATTTTTTAATACCAGAAAAAATTCTGTTATTCGCGAACATAGTTTGTTAATATCCCATTGACAGTTATTTATTGTACACATCCTGTTTATTAACTTAGTGGCTAGTATCATATGTTCTAGATTAGGTAGGTAAGTAGAAACACTTATCAGAATTTAAAATTTAAAAAGTTGAATGACTCTACACATATTATGTAAATAAGAATATTTGTATTTAAATAATAATTATTATATTATTTTTAGATAGTAAATTAACATTAAAAAACCAACAACCTTAGAATAAATTAATAAAGGGTAAGAACTAAACGTATAGATGTCTGAATAAAATTACCATAGATCACTATGTAAAGTATACAGTAAGTACATTGTAGACATATATTATTATAGATACGATTATGCGAATTAAGTATACCGTAGTAGTTGTTGTTTGGAAGTCGAAAAATTATTAAATTACCGTTACGATATTTTCTCGTAAACAGTATTTTTGTGTATATTAATTGTTAATATTATGATCGCCAACAACTATTTCCATATAGAAGATTTCAATTATTCCATAATCATGAAAAATATAATATTTAAAAAATATATTATCACTTTCAAGTGCATATATTAAAATATTATGTTGTATCTCAACAAGCAAAATGTATTGACCTTGATTATCTGTTCGTGAGTTTCAGGCACTATAGGTATACCTAACCCTAAATACACGTTCGAAATACGGTAATGACTAGACGAGTGATCTTAGAATAGGTAGGTAAACAATTATTTTGCTCACTCACAACGATCTATGGTAATATTATATTAGTTAAATTAACTCAATAATAAATTTAATTAAAATAAAAGGGATTTAAGGGGATACATTGAGTTATAATATAACTTATTCCCAACTAATTTTCTAATACTTTTGATGTTTCGAATTTGTGTCGGCGTATATAATGTTTGTATTTTACTTTGTGGTATACCTAGGTACCTATAGTATACCTATATACAGATTAAGTTGAAACATATTTTCGGTGAAGACAATTTCCTGAACACACTAAATACTTGCAATATATCCACAATATATTTAAATATATTAAATACTCGTGCTTGAGTTCTCAAGAAGAATAAATTATGCAAAAACAGACCTGCTATAAGTATACCAGGTATACCAGGTATAAGTGCCAGGTATATTTGCTATAATATATAATATGGGGTTTTCAGCAAAATATTATGAGTGTCTGGTTGGTGGAAGGACAGCGAGAGGTTTCTGAATGGGTACCATTCAATATTCTTTGACCTACAATCTACTAATCTTCATAGAAAGGTACATATTTTATAATATATATACAGATTATAGGTACTTTAGAGCAACTGTTAAAACTTAGGCCAACAATAACTTTTCCATTGTGACTGTGCAGTGTCACGCTCAATACGATTTATGTGGCGTTATATAATTTGATTATTTGAATAGGTACATAATATATTATATCTGTTTGGCACAATCGTATGGCAATGGATTTACCTATCACATTATCCATTGTAGTAATTGGCAAATTAAAAGTATTATTATTACCAATTATATAATTTATTATTAAAAATAATAATTTCGTACTGAGAATTTCTATACTACCCTTACGAAATGCAGAAGGTTAGACGATAAAAGTACTATAATATCATGTTATATGATATTATATACTTGTATCACTGAGCACTTTTAATTTGGCTTAAGTTAGGTTCCATATGCCCATGGCTTATTACAACGAAATGCAGATAAACTATAATATATTGACATATTGTACTATTCATCTATTTTAATTACCCGTGTAATAGCGATTTAAATTTCCGCCTGTCGGTTTCATGTTGGTTTAGTATGTTTCACAGATGTAGAACATAATTTTGTTACACATTTGTATAGAGAATTTGAATACAATTATGGATGATGATAAACTAGAAACAATTTAAATAAAATAGTTTGTAGGTAATTACAATCATATAAGTTTATGTACTGATTAGAGGCTAAAGCAAAATCACAGGAGTGATATAATAAAGATAAATTTAAAAGGAAAAACAACAATAATTAATAATTTTATTGCTTTTATAGTTTTATTGCTTCTTGGGTAAAATTATTACTGCATAAGTATCACTGTAAGTTATAAATCTAAATAATATTATATTTTTATACTCATCTGTGTCTAACACCTATCATATCGCGTCGCTTATGTACTCATAAGTATAGAGTTATACGTATAAGGTATGTGTCAGTGTGCCACATTGACAATTGACAATAAATTAGTAGGTCAGTGCAATTGTCGTTTTATTATGAGTATCAAATTCAAGTATAAGAAAATCGAATTGTAAAACAGACAATAATATTGTCAGTCTAATAATTTTATTTCTTAATAAAATATTATTTATATCTCAAATAATCAATTTATAAATTACTATAAATTATTATATTTATTTATTAATACAATTTTGAGAAACAACGTCTCGTGTTAATTAAGAATCATGAATATCACTTTGATGTTTCGTTCAAGGAAAATGTTAATTAATTTCGTTACAGACGTATAATTCCTTCAATACGAATTTAAACCACACCATAGCTCTACATTCTACAGTTATAATATTTTTTTTTTTTTTTTTTTGATCGAAAGACATCGGCGACAACGGCCATTAGTCATAAACGTTACATTAATTACATTTTTTTTTTTTGGTATCTTACATATAATAATTTTAAATTAAGTCGTACAATTTATATTTTCTTAAAAAAGATAAGATTTGGAGTGAGGAGTCTGCATTTGGACCGAGGGCTGCGTCTAAGGTGGTTGAGATGTTCAGCTGTTCGAGTGCCTCTGTGTATTGTCGGCATTCTGTGAGGATATGATGGACTGTTAGTTCGGTGCCACATGCTGTGCAGATAGGTTTTTCGTCTTTTGACATGAGATAACCGTGGGTTAGTCGAGTATGCCCGATGCGAAGTCTGTTAATGATTATTCTTTCTCTTCGTTTCGTGAGGAAATTGGGCCAACTGAATATGGTGTTTTTGATTTTTCTCAATTTAATGGTTTGTCCGAGCCAGTGTGTTTGCCATTTGATTTTAGTAAGTTCTTTAATCTGTTTTTTTATGTCTGCGAATGTAGTAATATTTAATATGGGTATATCAGTGTGCTCTGCTGCTTTCTTGGCTTCTTGGTCTGCCTTTTCATTGCCCTCTATGTCGCTGTGCCCCGGGATCCATACTAGTGAAATTTTGATTCCTGTCTGATATGCTAGGCTAGTTTTTTGAAGTATAAGTTTTGCTATATCTGTAGTGTTGAATGGGTTTTTGAGGCTCGTGAGTGATGAAAGTGAGTCTGACAGGATTAGATTGCTTTTGTGGGGGTTTCCATGATCGTGATTAAGTAATATGTGATCTACTGTTTTGAGTATTGCTATGGCTTCTGCCGTGTATATAGAGCAGCTTTCGGGGAGTTTGAATCTGATGGAGAGGTCATGGTTAGTAATTGCGATTCCCACGCCTTTTCTAGATTTAGAGGCATCAGTGTAATAACAATTTGCATTCTTGTGATCTTGGAGTATTTCGTTTAAGTGATTTTTGTAAATCATGGGTGAAGTGTCTTCTTTTTTGAATTTAGTTAAATCCAGGTTTATATCAATATTGAAGGCCCATGGGGGGGAATTTGAGGGGTTGAACTTTCGTTATCGCATTGAATTCTATACCATGGTCTTTAGCGTACTCGGTAATTTCTGTAGTGTATTTGTTTGCTGGATTGCCAGAGTTTCTTGTGATGCTGGCAGCGTAGATTAGTGATTTTTCTAAGTGTCTGAGCTCAGTAGGGGGTTCAAGTGCTAGGTTTCGAATGCTTTCTATGGGACTAGATCGGAAAGCTCCAATAGCGAATCTTAAGCTGGAGTTTATAGTAGAATCTATTATTCTTCTGTGGTGAGATTTGGCTGATTGGTAGATTGTTGCACCGTAGTCCATTTTTGCTCTGATGAGATGTCTGTGGATTTTTATGAGTGTTTCTTCGTCTCCTCCCCATGTGGAGTGGCTTATCATTTTCATGATGTTGAGACTTCTCGACAATGATATCTTGAGTTGTTTAAGGTGTTGTAACCAGTTGATTTTTTTGTCGAAATAAACTCCGAGTATTTTAATTGTATTTACGTTTGGGATGAGGATGTCATTTAACTGGATGTTGATGCGCTTTTGGCCTCTTTTGTTGGAGAATATGATGCATTGAGATTTAAGGCTGGAGATTTTGAAACCGGTGAGTGTTGACCATTTTGCGATGTTGTTTGCTGTATCTTGTAGGAAGTGTTGTACCGTTTTTAGATTAGGGCTTTTGCACCAGAAATTAAAGTCGTCTGCGAAAAGGTTGGCCTTTACAGGAAATGTTATGGTGTTGGTTATGTCATTTATTGCTAAAAGAAAGAGGGTAACCGATAATGACGATCCTTGAGGAATTCCATTTTGCTGGGAGTAGTTTTTTGATTGGGCATTTGAAAGAGAGATTGAGAATTGTCTTGAGTTAAGGTAGCATTTTATGTAGTTGAACATGTTGCCGTTTGTTAGAATTTTTGAAAGTATTAGTAGCACTCTATGTCTCCATACCGAATCATAGGCTTTGGCAATATCTATGCTTATCAAACCGAGGTACTGATTTGAGTTGAGTGCGTCGTTAACTTCTGACTTAATGATCGTAAGGCTGTCGATGGTGGATCTGTGTTTGCGGAAGCCGCTTTGCAGGTCAGATAGAATTTTTGCTTTTTCCAGGAACCAAATCAGTCGAGAGTTCACTATTTTTTCGAGTATTTTAGCCATCGTGTTAAGGAGGGATATAGGCCTGTATCCTTCAGGTGAGTGTTTGTCTTTACCTGGTTTTAAGATAGGAATTATATTGGCCATTTTCCATTTAACGGGGATCTGTCCTTTTTTCCATATGTGATTATAAATGTTGAGTAGGTGTTGCTTTGACGATGTGCCCATGTTATGTAAGAAGCTATAAGGGATTGTGTCGGGGCCCGGGCTTTTACTATTGCATATTCTTAGAGTTTGTTCTAACTCCTCCATTGTGATTTTGAGATTTAGGTTTATCTGATCTGGGTTATTGGGTTCAATGGATGACTTGATTTGTGAGATCTCATTAGGGATCTTTATTTCGTTTATAAATTTTTCTTCGTATAATTTATCGCTAAAGTTTTCATGAAAGAATGTTCCTATTGTATCTGCTACTACTGTTTGGTCAGTTATGGTACTCTGATTGGCTTTAATAACTATGTCGTTGTGACGTGATAAGCCTTTTAATGATTTTATTTTTCTCCATACTTGTGATGGGCTCGTTTTTCCATTGATGGTGGATGTGTATATGTTCCATGATTCTCTTTTACTGTTTTTTATGAGGAATTTGCTTTTGGCTCTGAGTCTTTTGAGTTCGATAAGATTTTCGGAGGTTTTATTTTTTTTTGAAATTTGTTAGTGCTTTATTTTTATTAGATATTGCTTCTTTTATTTTTTCATTCCACCAGGGTACTCTGGGTTTTTTTGTTTGATTAGTTGTGCCTATTGTCATGTTTGCACTGTCAGTTATGAGGTTTGTGAAGGAGAGGGTTGCCTCTTCTATATCAATGATGTTGTGGTCTATAATCTTATTGGTTTCTTCTTCTAGTAGGTCGGTATATAAGTTCCAATTTGGGTTTTTTAAATTCCATCTATGTTTATTTGAATGTTTATTATTTACTTGCCTATGTGATATTTTAATTTTGATTGGAATGTGGTCGCTACTATAAATTTCTGATAAAACTTCCCATTCGACCCTCTGTGCAATTGATGGTGAGCTTAAGGAAAGATCTATACAAGAAAAGTTGCCATTTCCAAAATTAATGTGAGTGGGAGTTGAGTCATTTAAAAGTACTAGATCTTCATTTTGTATTAGTTTTTCTACAGTTTTTCCTCTAGGATTGGTGGAGTTTGAGCCCCAAATTATATTATGTGAGTTAAAGTCACCTACTAGTATAAAGGGCTTAGGGAGTTGACGTATAATATTTTCTAGATCTGGTAAAGAAAAATCCGTTTGATTTGGCAAGTAAATGTTGCATATAGAGAATGTTTCGTTGAGTTCTATGGATACAGCTATTGTTTCGAAATTACTATTTATTTTTATTTTTTTGGTTGGGATGTTTGATTTTGTGTATATTGTGACTCCTCCGCTGGCTCTATCCGATAATATTCTATTTTTACTGAATCCTTCGTAATTTTTGAGGTGAGCTGTGAAGTTGTCTTTGAAATTTGTTTCTTGTAGGCATATAATTTGGGGGTCGTGGTTTTGGATGATGAGTTTAAGCTCTTCTTGTTTCTTGAAGAAGCCATTAAGGTTCCATTGGATTATTTTAGCCATTATCAACAGTATTCTTTTTTTTTTTTTTATTGGATCTTTTGGATTGTTTTTTGCTGGCTTTTTGTGATGATTGTGAGTTGTGTGAATGAATGAGAAAGTATCAGTAAGTATCAGATTCAGCTTCAGAAGCATCCATGAAGGCTTCATTATCTATTGCTTTAAAGAGCTTGTTTGTTATCCTGGTTATATTGTTTTTAGCTTGAACAGTTAAAAGTGAAGGTCTGATTTTTTCGAGTAATTCCAATATGTGGTTGCCTGTTGTTTCATATTCATGAATTGTGTCTAGAGGGTGGTCAAGAGTAGCAATAATTTCTATTATATGTTTAAATTGAGAGAAGTTTAAACTAGTATGATTGTGTTCATTGAAAATATGACTGATGGGATCAAGGTGGGTGTCCAGTTCCTCTGAAAAGCGTTTGCGCGAGTTTGAGCGAGAGCGGTTTTCTGGCTTGTTCGTTATTTCTGGCTGAGAGAAAGACGATACTTGATTCGTTGGAGTGTGATTAGATGTAGTAGTTTGTTCGATCGTTTTAATTTTTTTGTGGTGGTGTTTTGGGTCTAAGAGGTTTGGCTCTTGTGAAGTTGAATGCAGGGGGCTGGAAGGGGCTGATGAAGATGTTGTTGGAGGAGCCTGTCGTTTGTGAGCTGATGTTTCGGTGACGATGTTCCAAGTTGGAGGCGTTTCGTCTGAGGTGATGAGCATTTGAGAACTGATAGTAGATTGGGAGATATCGATTTGGTCGATTTTTTGATTTTCTGGCGTAGAATTATGTTCATATGCATTTGTCTGTTGAGGTGAGGAGGAGATTTCCGTGTTATTTAGATTCGATTTTTTGCAAGTCAAGGATGTGTGACCCGTAGATTTGCAAATGAAACAAGTTATTTTGTCGTCAGTGAAGAAAATGCGGAATTGTGACTCGTTTGCAGAGATTAATAATGAGCTAGGGAGTTTTGGTATGTCGTCGTACTTTATGTACATCTGACGACGAAAGCTGAGAATATGGTCGTACCCTTCCGCGAATATTCCAGCTTTGAGGTGGCTTATTTGAGAGACAGGTGTTATGTTGATAATTTTAAGTTGTTCTAGGATGATTTGGTTGTTAATAGACGGGCAGACATTAGATATTACTATCCTTTTGGCTGGGTTGTTTAATCTTCGGAATGGTAAATCCTGGTTATTTATTGTTATGAAGGGGTGCGTTTCTATTAAGTTATCTAAGATTTGTTTGCTGGATAAGAATATGCAGAACCGGTTGTTGGAAATTCTAGACACAAATGTGATATTTTTAGGAGAGACAATTTTGCCAACTGCTAATACATAATCTTTTTGTGGGATGCCGTCAATAGAGTTGAAGACTATCGCCTGGTCTCTCGACGGTGTTTTGTCATTTGCGGCGATTGTTGCAAATGTGATACCAGTATTATTGTGTTGTGGAATATTTATGTTGCCAATGTTAATTGGAGACGACGGTGTCGATGGATAATTGAATACGGTGAAGTTTTTATCGATATTACTAATGGGATCGTTAGCGATAGAGGCATTATGCAATGTAGATAGTGCGGCGGAGGTACTGTGATTAGCAGCCGCGTTATCGCTCGCTAATGATGTACCCGGACTGGATTGTTGTTTTGCGATTTGATTGTTGAGTTTAGTTGGTGTTGTAATAATTTTGGAAGGCTTACTTGGAGGTTTGATATTAATATTTTTTTTTTGTTTTTGGGCTGTTGCACCTATGGTAGGAGGTTTTAACCTAGGTGAGGACCCTTTGGGGGGGTTGGCTGACATGCTGGGGGATTTAATGTTCAGATAATGTTCATATTACCTGAGACGATTTAATTATGATGTGCTATCGGAAGCTTGATAAATGCGAACTCGCGATACACACGTGTTAAACGTTCGAAGGTTGAACACGTACACAGTTATAATATATATATATAATATTAATATATTATATCACTACATATTGTCAAAATAATTAGGAGTATAATATCATAATATAAACAGAAATATTGTATATTTATCAAGTTGCATGACTGCTATAGTGCTATAATATCACATAGAGTAATAGCTAACTGACAATCAGTTAAAAAAGTACTTCACGTACAAAAATAATATTGAAGAATTATTTGTTACTGTTGCTAAACTTTATTGATATCCTAATTTCAAAACTATACGTTTGCTATCTATGTTGATTTATAATCTTCTAAATGTTTATTATACGTTCTCAAGAGCATGCTCACGGAGGCGATGATGATGTCATACCCACACTCTGATTTATATTTATCATATAATATATGATATATATTATGAAAAACAATGAATTTATTAATTTAATTTTTATAATTACATATATCTACCATGGTCTAGGTATGCCACATTTAAATTTTTTTATTTTGTCCTCTACCCCACCCCTTAACATTTTCCCTATGAGCGTCTATGAGTATATATTACAGTACTACTTATACAACGCTATACGCAGTAGTCTAGTGGTCCGATCGATCGACATTTATTTAAATGCTCGATTAAAATGATTAAATGTGTGCTTTGTAACATAGTCGACCTATTATATTATAGAGTTCAATACACTAAAAATACGGGGCAGGTATGCGCTTTATAAATTATTATATAATATTATTCTGTCGAATTTTTAATTGACCCGCGTTCAGGTAGCCTTCAGTGTTTCCCATTAAGTGCAAGCTCGTGTTTTATGTTCAGATACAATTTCACAAACACATAATACCTGTCGTAAAAAAAAAGATACTTGTTAATTGATTTTGTTGTTTCCACGTGCCGATTATGTGTAGGATGATATCCCTCACGATATCGGTACGTAGTGGTCCGTCGATTGTAGAGAGCGTAGGTACACCCAATTAAACGTTCATATTATGAACAGTACTCGTCTACACAGGTACTTCAACTACAGCGTACAGGATTTTCTCTTAAAAAAATATTATGTTAATACAGTTTGAAATATTTGATCAGTGCAAATAGCGTGTTGCAAAAGTGTGAGGGTAGGTAATGACAATTTAATTTTGACTCCAAATTGTACAATTATTAATAGAATGTTAACCGAAATGAGAACAAAAATATTATGATTATTTTATTTTTGTGGGTTAGTCGTGAGCGGTGAGACGGTAAGTATAGTATACCTAATCAATAAACTAAATGTGTCACCGTCTATACTCTATAAAATATATTATTATGTTATACAAACAATAATAATTATTAATAACGACGACGTTAAGATTTTATACGACACTGCTCGAGCTACCATTGCGTGGTTTATTTTATAACGTGTTCAGTCAAAAAGTATAAATTTGTTCCTCCTACGTATATAATAATAATAAAGTTTGATATTATTTTCGTATACTTCTAATATATAGTTCTTTAGTGTATTATATACCAGCAATTGTGTTATAGACATCAGGCACTCCCGCGTGGAATACTTACTAAAACAAGATTCACAATATTATATGTATATTTGAGCACGTCTTGAGTTACCTCTTCGAATAATAATATTAAAATAACTATAAATACTGGATGAATAAATTAATAAAATTATCGAAAAACGTTTGTACCGTATATATAATTAGAGTTCAGATATTTGTGAAGACGTGGAGTTAGAAATGCATATCTTTGTTTTATGCAGTATAAGAAAACGTACATTTTTCAAATACAATCGTGGCGATATTATTCGTGAAATCGTCGGAATTTCAGTTTTTTTTTATTCAAAATATTTTAAAATAGAATATTTGAAATGAAAGAGTAAGCTTACATTTTCCGGGGAAAAATTTTCTCAGAATTTTTCAACATCGCATTTTGTGTTTCGTTGAAAATGCGAGCTATTTCAAGAGCTGAACAGACGTATAAGGTGCCTCACAGGCCGCATCCCTAAACACAAAAAGAGTTTCAAGTTCATATATTTATTCACCTATGCAATAAACCTAGGTACGTCATAAATACATACATATTTATTTAAAATTTGTATCTAGACAATGGTACATATCATATAGTGATATGACATAAGTTTAGGGAAATTGATGACTTCAACTCAATAAACGCCAACTGAAAAAAAAAATTGTTTTGCTGCGGTCTCAAAATGAATCTTCTCAAGACAATTCCACATAGAAATTTAAATACAACGCCGTCAAATAAAATACACATTAGTTAGATAAAAAAATATTGAATCATTCAATTAATACATTTTGTTTTATCCAACCAAATATAACCATAACTTCACTTGGTATTTTATTAAGTGTCTTGGTCATATTAAAATACTTATAAATTATAAGATATAGTACAATTAAATAAATAAATGACTTAATTTAACACTATACAAGGAAATGTATTTTAGATTCTGAGCGGAGCGAGGAAGCTAGTGGTTTTACAATGGTGTTTATTTTTTTTTTTATATATATCCTGCAGTATACAAAATTTCTACCAGAAGGAGTTCTTCGATTTCAAAATATAGTACATTATATTAAAATTTAATATTAATATTTAATTGGATCAAGATGGTACTTTAGAGAGGTCATTTTTCGATTTTATCAATAGTTGTTCAATGCCACGGTAAAAACCACCGAAAAATTACTAAAAACCGTTAAAAATTGGATTTTAGTTTCAAACGCTTTGTTTATTACCATAGAAACGAATAAAAAATATTATAATATTAATTCAACTTACATGATATAATAATTAATGATAATATAATCCAGACTGACAAACCGTTTCCGCTCAGAATCGTTTTTCTTATCCAATGATAGAATATCATTGAATTCAAGTTTAATACAATCCGTTATACAATGACCCGCTTGTAAACTACTGTACAGAAGAGCGACCACTTACCCGCTTTTTTCATAATAATAACTCTTGTGTATTACTGCAAGGCCACCCGCAGGGGGGGGGGCTGGGGAGGGCCATGGCCCCCCGCTAATTTAGATAATACCTAATTTTTGGCATTGAATTAAAAACACCAAGAATAGCGTCAAAACAAACACTGAGAAATAATACCCCTTCATCTGATCCGGTAGATTACTACAGAAAATCAATTTTCATTCCATACTTGGATTCATTAATTACTTCATTAAATGACAGATTTGCTGAAGATTTTGAAAAATTTGAAGTTTTCTCAATCCATCCAAAATATATGAAAAGTATAAAAAAAGAAGAACTTATCACTAAATTGAAAAATATTAAGTCATTTTATGGAGATTTGGTAGATAATATATTAGAAGAAGGTCTTATTTGGTACAGCAATTGGAGTGAAAAAGAAATTAAAGATAATACAGATTTTCTTGAACTTTTAGATGAAACAACATTTTTCCCATCAATAAAAAATTGTATTTTAATAGCAATAACCTTTCCATCAACTACTTGTAGTGTTGAAAGGTCATTTAGGTATGTATAATTTATTAATCTGCTTTTATAGTGCTTCTTCATAGATATTTTTGTTTTTGCTTTATATTATAGCTCACTTAAAAAATTGAAAACGTGGCTTCGCAGTAGTATGGCACAACTCCGCTTGAATGGCTTAGCACTTATGTACATTCATAGTGATATTTTAAAAAGTCAACAATCTGACATTGTTGAAGATACAATTAAGCTTTTCTGCATGGAACCACGGCGTGTTTAATTTTTATTTGACGATAATGATCAATGAGTCATGAATTATTTATTATTAATTATTTTTTTCATTTTTTATTATACAGGATTATTTATAATAATAACATAATATTATACATTTATATAAATATATATATGTATATACTTACTATATTATAATAATTTTTTTTACGATATGATACAAAAAACAGAAATTATGGTAAGTGTATTATTGTTTCGCTGCCCCCCCCCCCCCCCCCCCGAGAAAAATTTCTGCGGGCGGCCTTGTATTACTGTATTAGTGTAAGGTAATAATAATATATCAGACCTAATGGACCTAGTAGTCAATTTTAACATGTATACCTGTCAATAAACCTTAAAATTAAATCTGATATCCTGAATTCGTAATATCTGGATAACTCTTACAAAACGTATATTATTGTTTTCCTTTTTAGATTTTAACAAAAGTTTTATTCAATTGGCATACAGCTAATGTAGGTCGACCAACCACTCCTAGCAGTTCTAGCACGCCTACTATTACCCCCGCCCTATAAGTGTTCATAAAAGTATCATAAAACCTTCCCCCAGTATACCTAGATACCAATATTGTTATTATTATATTATGTTCGTTTCGACGCACCTTGCATGGGTCCGATGGTTAGCGGAGACACGATGGTCATGTAAATGAGCAGCGATCGACTGGGCCGTTTCTTGACCAGTACGCGTACCGAGTCGGCGATCACCTTCGGGTTGACCGTCTGCCATATAGACGCGCCCTTGTCATACGGCACGGACGTGTCTTTGACCAGGGCCGCGCCCAGCACGAGCGCCGCCACGTTCATTGCTATGCACACGCCGAACGTGCCGTAGAAGCCAATGTTGACGTTGAGGAAGCCGGCCGTGCACGCTCCCACCGGTGTAGCGATGAAGTACAGCGACATGAGCATGCCGATGCGCTTGGTCCGATCCTGGACACGAGTGATGTCGGCCACGTATGATGCGACGCCCACTACGCAGCATATCCGTGACCCGGTGATCGCGGGCACCAGGCACTCGGATACGGCAGCCACGGCGGGCGACCAGTGCCAGTTGTACACGTTGAGCACGTTGAACGCGTCCGTCAGCAGCTGGCCAGCGATCGGTATGAACATAAGTGGCCGGCGCCGGCGGCCATGCGTGTCGCTCCACGAGCCCGCGAACAGTATGAACAACAGCGGCACCGAGTACTGGATGGTCAGCTTCCATGTCTGTATCCTGGCCACCAACTCCTGTGCATAGCTCTCGTTCAGGCACTTGTCCCTCAGGTCAGCCGGCTGCTCGGTGGCCGTCATGTCGCATCCCTTTCGCAGTATCAAGTTCGTGCCCACCTGAAACCACGCGCACGCACACTTATCCTTTAGTTGTAAGTTATAACTGGGTTTTAAGGTTAGGTTTGGCATAAGGTTTCGGTTCGTGCACTATATGAAAACGCTGAAGTAACTATATATGGTCCAATACGCAGAGAAAAACCTTTAGTACCTAAGTAATATGTACAATGAAAATATTTCATAAATATGAATTAGTATAATATTGTGTGGCAAAGGAAGGGCAGTGAGCTATTTCAGTCGCTGACGACGTGTGGTGCACGAACCGCGAGCGAGAGCCTCATTTCACCCAAGACAGAAATCGCCTTCCCGCACGAGCCATACATATTATTTTTTTTTACGCCTCTGCGATCATCGATCAGTGTCTGGTTGTGCAGGGAATACGCCCAGCACTTTTGGGAATTTCCATTTTACCACACGGCACTATGAGGATTCCCACTTTACCGTCCGCTGGACAGAAAAATTAAAAAAATTTAGCTTCAACCGTTATCGAAAACTAAACTTTCAGTGCAGGCGTGACAAAAATTCGATTTTATTTTTAAATGTATAAACAAAACTTACTTAACTCCTACGATGTGTATTGTAAACAATAAGTTTGATACTTTGATTTCAATCTCACAGATCGAATAAATATATTTTTGTATCCATGCTCGTGTTAAAGTTTTCGAACAAATTTTGTTTTTAATAAACATTAAATAAATTGTACCTACATTAAACTTAAAAAAAATTTAAATATTAAATGCTCTTTAAATAAATAAAACGCGTTATTAAATAATTAAATATTCCAAGTATACAAAACCCCAAAATATTTAATTGCAGGATGGAAAATTAAATGTCACAATATATATTGAGTAACTGTGCACGGCGCGTTTCTGCAATCAGTCACGCAACTTGACTGAGAGTAAGTAACGTCCGATGCCATTCCCGGATGGGTGACCACCCGGAATTGTAGTTTGCAAAATCCTTGCCGCACATACAAGGGTTTTCAACCGTTTTAACCTTACCGGTACAACTCTACCAACCTTTAAGGGTAATGATTTAAATCGTCGAAGCCTTAATCCAATAAAAAAAAGGTTAATCTGTGGAAATTATATTTCTAATCCATCTAGGTAAGTATGATTTACAACATTAGTATTTTGAGTTCTCATTAAAATGACGAATTCCAATGGTTAATTTTAAATATATCCCAGTAGGTGGCTAATGGCTATCTATAACATTTTAGGATAGTTATTAAAACGGGAACCAATTTGTTTTTGAAGTCAGTACCTACACATATTTCATCTCTGGCGTAAACGTATACACCCAACTATAATATAAAATATATAATATGTCTGAGACAAAACATGGGCATAAAATATATTATATGCCAATAATAATAATATTATAAATATAATTTAATAATGGATCGACATTCACCCTAATATTTAAAGTCATCCGAAACTAAACGCGAACTGCTAATTATGTAAATAATTTGTTATGTCCCACGTGTTGGAAATACTGAGACGACCACAATAGTACCGGTGCATCGTCCTTCTAATACGAGATATCAGTGCAATTTTGTTGTCAAGCGTTGCGATGTTTTAGATTTAGAGTTGTACAGGTAGTGGGAAATTATTGTAATATGCAATTCGCCCATTATACTGCCGTTTTCCGAGATGAAATCAAAGCCGCAGGTGGTTGCATCATCGCGGTGATGACGATATGGCGTGCGTAGCGTGTGTACCATATTAATATAATAATAACAATATAGTATCTACTACCTATATAGCCATAACGACAGTTCAAATAGTTGTATTGTGTACGCGTGGTTTACGTCAAAAACGATTTCGAAAATTCTGCGGGCACCGAAAAAAAAAAACTTACCTCCGCCGAGATTTAAGCGCCTCTCCACCGCACGCCTAACGAGCGCCGGGGGAGGTGATCCGCGAATTAGGCAGCATTCGGTGCAGGCGGCGTCCATCGGTCGAACGCGTTTTGAGTGTAAGTACCATAAACGAGCGATTTAAAACAGTTTATGAACGGTGCAGCTATACAATATCCGGCGTATTGCGTTTTGTTAATCTTCAAAACATACGGCGCCGTTTTTGTTTGGTTAACGATCGAATATCATTTTTTGATTACCTATATACCTATGATGGGTCCCTATACCGAGAACAGGATCACTGAACCGTAAATATTGTTATGCGACCTGCTCGACTCCAGAGTATTTTTTATATTGTATAAATAATACCCTCATAGAAGTTGTGTTTGAACAAGCGAGAAGGAGAAATAAATACCACGTAAAGGGAGCTATACCCTTCCTCTTATCCCCATCCACGAATACAACGTTTCCCTCCATGAAATTATGTGTCGCTTGCATGGGAATTTTAAATATTTTTTTATCGATTTTTGCGTTTATTTATGTTATACTTAATTTTCTTTCAAATTAAATCGTTTTGAAAAAAAAACCTTACTATCTCCGGTACTCTACTTTTAACTTAATATAATACGAGTTTGTGTACTTTTCATTTTACTTTGACGACGGAATAAGTATGATGCTGCAGGGATGCTATTTTTGTACTTCGGGTAGAAGACGGTAATAAATAATAACATAATTATATCACCGGCGTGTGTCCGTATTTATTAATGTGCGCCCTCCAAAATGCGGTCAGCAGTCGAATTAATTTAACGACATTGCCCAAATCTGGAATTATAGTCGATTTTCATCAAGAACGTATATTATTATATTATTATAACCGAAAGAATAAAATCTACTTTAAATATATTTTTAAAAACTTAGATTACATTATGCCATTTAAAGAGTGTCCTGTGGAGTTAGTAATTACTATTTTTTAATTCATAAGCACTCTTTTTTACTGTAAGATGTTAAGCAGACAATTTTTTTGAGTAATCAATTATGTTAATTATTCCAAAAATAAATTTAAAAATTTAAAAAATCCAAAACCATGACGAACATTGGAAGAAACAAGAAACTTTTAAACGGTTGTACCTACTGGAAAATCTACTTTTTTGAGTTGTGCAACTGTTTTTGTGCACTAACGAATTATCATGTGTTAAATATTTAATGTTCACGTATTCTTCGAATACAATTAATTATCATTTTGAGCTCTCTGTGGTTGGCTGTTAATTTATAACAATCTAGCTACTAAGATAATAATATGAAATTTCAGTGAAACCTTTAAGCAATATCATACACGTGACGAAAATTAAAAATGTTCGTGAGTCATGAATCAAGAGTTCCCCACTCTTCGGTATATTAAATACATCAATAGATATTAAAATAATAAATAACGTAGGTACTAACAATTATTTTATTTTTTTTTGAAGACAAAAATCATCATTAAAATGTTTTTGCATACAATGAATACCCACCAGGACATGCAAGGGCATGCAAACGTCATAAAAACATTAAACATGATCAAAAAACGATTTCAATTTTTAAACGTAAATAAAACCATGACCGATAAAAATTAAATATTTAAATACCACAAAACAAAACATAATGGTTAACAAAATATATAGAATATCATTAAACAAAAAATAACACAAAACGAAATAATTAAAACCATTTCATATTTTTATCATAAATATAAAATTTATATTGGTTTCATGGATATTTCATTTTATTTTTATCTTTGAAAAATGTTAAGCATTAGGTATATCCCATATCCCGGTAATTACGTTATTACCTACCAATTAAATATTATTATTACATTATTAATATTATCGGTCATTTTATTTATAGTGAGTAGACATTTAACATTACACCCTATGGGCTGTGGTCCATTGTAGCCCCACATCATATTGCACAGTAGACTTTTGTTATAACTTACAACAAGTTATGTCGTTATGAGCATTTATAAACAATTTACAATTTTCAAATACTCATAACTTAATAGAAAATATTGAAATATCAAGAAAACCTAATACGGTGCCCTAAATGTGTCTTGCCTTTAAATTTACTCTAATATTAAATATAACAGAGTTAAACCAATATTCTTCTTAACGTAGAATTTGCAATATTATTCGTTAGTAAGACGGAGACAATACGTAACGTCCGTAAAAATCCAAAACGTTTTAATTCTAAAAAACCATAACTTAAAAATTCTATTACGTTTTAGTTCTAATAACTATAAACACAAATGTCGTTTGAATCTAAATAAAAACATCAAAATGATTTTTTCTGGTTCAAATGCAACCCCTGATCCTTACATAATATTATAAACTTAATAGGTACTTACCAAAGCTGAAATGGCCAATGTTACAAAATACAAAAACAGCATTGGTTCCACGGTGACCTTTTCGATCCATTTTGGTTTTGTAATAAACATATTTATTTAAAACAAAAATATGTTTAATTGTCTACAATATTATAGTTGTTACACTTTTAAAGTATATAAACACATTGAAATCATATTTAGAATCACTAGAAAATCTTTGCGAGCTTATAGTTGAGATATTATGAGTAGGTATTATTAATTACGAATGGTTGTGATATTTTATATTAGTTGTAACTTTGTAAGCAATCGAGGCAATAATCAATTGATACTGCTGGTATGTATGAATTTTTTTTTGTTTATCTCTACATTTCACCAAAACTTGACTATTATAATATCACAATTCCGTTATTGCAAAATATGCTTTATATATTATGTTAGGGTGGTAGGTTCCTAAATTAATGTAAAATGTAAATGTCTTGAAATGGAAGATATGTTATTAAACCTCAAGTCGAAATGATTATGAATGACCTTGTCAGCGTGTTTTCTATATATTTAAAAGTGATTTGATTTCGATTTTTTTACATATAACGCGTCCGTTGCGAATAAATTGTCTCAAAAGATCTAATAATATTATTGTCCGATATATCGTTGGACGGACTGCGGCGGTGCGACTGCGTCGTATACACTGCAGCGTGTTTCGAGTACATTTAGTACCTAAACCCACCTATAACTGATGCGTCGGTACGTAATACTTCACCACGATTAAGTAACATACCGGTCCGAGGTCGAGTTCAACTTTCTCCTTCATTCCACACGACCGTATTATGCCCAATATATGTGTCGCCGAATCATTATATTGCGGCCAATTTTTTTTTTCTCCTGCAGTGTATTATAGGTATACCCCGTCCGCTCAGAGTGTGGGCTGTATAGTAGTACATTATTGTATAGCAGTAACAGTGGACAGTGATTTAAGGTAGTGGTATAGTCCTATCCATATAATATCGTATTATGTACAAGTTCCCATTATGAATAGGATTGCCCCCCCCCTCCCATCATTCGATATATTATGCGAGTTTTGGATAATAGGAAGTAGCGACGACGACGTAAACGAACGCGCGAAATCTGCTCTTTCTAGGTCACATTGTTATAGAGGTAGTCCTGCAGTGAGCTTGTGTAGGAAACGCATAATACATAATATACTATTATTATTATTATTATTATTATTATTACTATTATGCGCGTACACAACATTCACTGGGTATAAACTACATGATGTCACTACTGTTGCAGATATCGTCGTTTTCTTGAGTCACCCGTGTAATGTTTTGTAGGTATCTATCAAATATCTATATGGCTATACACTTCTAATAAAATAATAGCCCTATAGGTATATTATGTGCTATGTAATTAAGTTACTATTTCGTTATTCGGAAAATGTATTTCTCCAGTCAACGCCTAAAACAAAATTTGTAGAGTTATATTGTAGAATTTCCATAAAAAAAATATTGGTAAATTAACCGGTAAATCAACTATTTTCAAGAGTAAAAACTTTTGTATTTATTTACAGTGTCGAGAAAATAGAAAATATGGTTAGTATAATAATTAATAACTTAAATAAGTTATAACTATTGTATTTATTATCAGTTGATAAAAAATATCTCTTTACAATAATTAGGGATAGGTGTATTTGATAAGAGGCGCCGTACAAAATATTTTTTTGGCTAAAAAATAATTTACCGATAAAAAAAATTGCTAAAATGTAGGTAAATCGTTTACAAGTAAAAATGTACATCACTAACATCTCTAAAAATTTGAATTTCAGTATCAGTGTACTAATAACTATTATTATAACTATTAGAGTATTAGTGTACTAATATAGAGCTACTTTTATAGTACAGTTGGTATACCTTCAAGTTTTAGCTGAAGATATGAAAAATATGTTTTTGTCAATCTAATTCAATCGAAATTGAATTGTTATATTATATGTACTATATGTATATTAAAATTATTGAAAATGAAAAACTAATACGAACGACTCGACTGAAAATCTGGTGCCACAGACCCCCCGGTGTCTGGCTTTCCAACCATATCCTTCAGATTATTAAAATTGTATACGTTAATACAGGGTCCGGCAAAAAAACCTCCCGTATTTTTAGACCTTTATATTTAAAGCTATTTATAGATAAAATGGCATTCCGGGTATAGATAGATAGAGGTCTACGTGCCGTTTTTAGTAATCATAATGGCGTGGCACGGTGAGCATCGCGCATTTGTCGTAGAGGAATATATCCGTAATGGTGGTTCTGCGATTACTACTCAGCGAGCATTTCGCATTCGATTTCAACTTGGCCGACATGATCCTGTTCCGGATAGAAAAACAATTCAAGTTTGGTTATCAAACTTTAGAGCAACGGGTTCTGCGCTAAAGAGAAAATCGTCTGGCCGACCTTTAACCGCAACAACGCCGGATAATGTGGCACGTGTAAGTGCGTCTATCCAGCAATCTCCGAGGCGTTCAGCACTTAAACATGCAGCTGCCTTTACTAGGAACCACAAAGAAGTCTGGTTCCAACAAGATGGAGCCACAGCACACACTTCACGGCGTTCACTAACCATTTTGAGAGAGATGTTTCCAGGGCATCTTCTTTCTTTACGAGGAGACATTACCTGGCCACCAAGGTCCCCCGATTTATCACCTTGTGATTTTTTTCTTTGGGGACATTTAAAGGCCCAAGTCTACACTCATCGCCCAACATCTTTGGAAGCACTTAAGGAGGCAATCACTCAGGAAGTGGCAGCCCATTACACCACAAATGACTCGACGAGCAATGGAAAACTTCCGGGAAAGGCTTCGTAAATGTATTAATAATAGAGGACAATATTTAACGGATATAATGTTTAAAACTAAGTAATTATTTTATTTTATGTAAAATGGCATAGTATTTAATTTAAAAAATTCAATAAAATTTTTCTGTTAAATTGTTTATTTATTTGTCATTGCCTTTTAAAATATGGGAGATCTTTTTGCCGGACCCTGTATAATATATTATTTTTATTATTATTATGCGTGGACACAACATTCACTGTTTAGTGGGCACTACGTGATGTCATTATTCACTATATTATACTGTTGCAGGCATCGTCATTTTTTAGAGTCGTAATGTTTTGGCGGATACCTATACTAATATAATATTACTCTTCTGATACCTATATACTTATTGGATTTAATGTATTTATTATTTCGCCGTCCACGACGTTTATTCCTCCGGGATTATTGTAGTATAAATGTATAATATTATAATATTTATACGACATGTGCAAATAGATAGGTATGTGTGTTTAGAACTTTTTTTTTTTAGCATTGACGCGATTTAGATAAAACTCGAATTTAATATATGGAATATGGATACACTTTAAATACTTTAAATATACACCTTGTACACACAACACATAATGTGCTTATACCATTTGTATACCCCGCATAGATTGATAGCTTTTATTGCTCTTTTTACACGTATCACGGATGAGTGAGTTGTATGTTTTTTTATGCACGTATTATACACGTATAATGTAGGTATATCATGTATTGCCAGGTATTCTGTATACACGAGGTCATACGACACAAGTACGTATAGGTATAATACTCTACTCGAGTGTTTTTATTTTTATTTGACGTTAATAGAAAACGATTTGTGTTTGTTGTCAGTTTAGTGTCCCTGTAGTACTATACTATATGTATTATAATACTTAACTAGTTGAAGGTATTTTCGGATCGTTATTTACAATTTAATATAATAATAATAACAGGTATAATATTGTTTACTTGTTGCCAATATATATATTATGTTTAAAATAAAGTTTTTCATTCATTATACTTGGTATATTTAATATTAATAATAAAATACGGTTTTATCGATTCTGCTTAATGGTTATTACGCTATCGCCATGGAATTAGTGATTGAAACAAAAGCCTGTTAGAGAATGAATAAAAGGCGAGTTATGGAAGAGTGAATACTGTATACCATTCAGTAATAGTTTCAAGTGTACCTCGTCATTGAGCAACTCACTAAAATAGTATACTGTCTGTGTTAAATTTAAATTTAATATGATAAAACATTGCATGCGAAAAACAATTCTGAGCGAGATGGTCTGACAGTATGTACTCGTATATTAGGTACTACAAGTATATTTTATGATAAATTTATATTGCTTGGTACTACTTATTTATCTTACTATTAGCAATAAGGGAAGTTTAATTAATTTTTACTAAAAATATTGCATTTATCATATTGTAAATATTTAATTATTATAACAGCAGACATTCAAACTTCTATATTATGAAGCCTCATGGGCAACAACAAAAATTCGTATTATAGAGAATTTCGTTAAATAGAATTAAATAAATGTAGTTTTACTTTGGTTTGGTTCTCAAAAATATTTCGTTGAACCGAAAATTGTATTAATTAGAAGATTTTTCTATGGAAGTTTCACTATATTTATAATATCATATATTATTATTATTAGCTTTTGAGTCAATACTGACTTCACGTAGAACCTTGTGAATGTGTTCGTAATATAAACAGACAATTACATACAATTTATCTAAATTTGTCATAGTGTGTAATATAATATATTATAATAGATATATGTAACAGTTTTTAGACCACATGAATAATATTTGTAATTACAAAAAAAAACTAAGATCGTTCTCCTTCGTTTAAATATCTAATTTCGTAAATGTTGTAAATTTAAATATCTATAAAAATTTGTTTTTACATATTCTTCAGATCTTTTGGTTTCAGTGTGAACTACTTACGAAGAATCTTGTATTACATTTTCAAGCTTTTCGACGGATTAAAATTTTTTATCGAGGTTTATAGAAAAAAATTTAAATAAATTGAAAATGTCAATATTAACTATAAATAGCGTAAAAAAAGTAAAATATTTTTAAAAACATACAATGTACCCATACACAATTATAAAATGAACATTTAATGACAATTTCAAGCATCAAGGTTATTTGTTTTTTAATTACAACCAAATAAGAAAATTAATTTTGTTGAAAATAGTTTTGCTTAAAATTTCCCATTTTTCTTTAATTGTTTCTAATT